GGGTAGCTGCGGCCTCCGGAGGTCGCCCGGGGTGCGGGTGGAGTGACTTCTGTCCCGGCAAGGTGGCGTACAGAAAAGACTCCCGTACCGCAGAAAGGCTGCCCTTCCCAAATACTTCTCAAATCGGCCTGCTCGGTAGTCTCCCCAGCAGTTTTTTTTTTTTTTCCTTTTTAGTGATGTATAACTTTTGTTCATCTTTGGTCGCAGGAGAGAGTCCAAGAAATGAGGCGGGTACGTTGAAACGATGGAGAAAGGATGGAATGCCACAGTGGTCGAGATTAAGAGATAGGCTTAGGGGTCCACTTGTGTGACCTTGAGCAAACTTGGTGACCTCCGCGCCTCTGTTTCTCGCTGATCAAATAAGTAAAACAAGACCTCACAGGGTTGTTGGAAGTATTAAATGGGAAAACACTTATAAAGGGACATATAATAAAAACTCATTATATTATTAATAGTAGTATTACTATTTGGGAAGAGAATTAGGAAATAATTTGGGGATTCAAGTTAGGTAGTATGATCATTTATCCTCTCCTTTCTAGAACTTAAAAAATATGGGCATACTTTGTGTGTTTGTTTTTTGGTTTTGTTGTTATTGTTGTTAGAGACATGGTCTTGCTTTGTCCCCAAGCTGGAGTGCAGTAGCTCGACTAGCTGATTGTAACCTCAAACTTCTGGACTCAAGCAATCCTACCACCTCAGTCTCCTGAGTATCTGGAATTACAGGCATACACCACCATGCCCAGGTAGTTTTTAATTTTTTTAATTTTTTGTAGACATGGGGGGGTCTCCCTATGTTAGTTGCCCAGGCTGGTCCCAAACTCCTGGACTCAAGCCACCTCCTGCCTCTGCTTCCCAAAGTGCTGGGGTTATAGATGTGAGCCACCACACCCGGTTTAGGCATACGTTTAAACATCCTTTTAAAGCATTGTTTGTAGGGTGCATTCTAAGCTAATAAAAATAAGGAGGGATATTGATGCTTCTCTCTTGGGATATCCAGAACTGAAAATCCCATTGCATTATTGTGCTTCTGAAAAAAGGAGGTGACCAATTTTTCATGGCTTTGCTTGGTGAGAGGAACTTCGTCTCCAGCTTTTTTTCAGAAGCAATCTAAGTCAATATGAACAGCACTTCAAAACATAAATTCTCAAATCCAAACACAGATCCAGCCAATCAGAATCTCAAGGAAGGGCTAAGTCATTTGGACTTTTAAGGTTCCCCTTTTGTGGTGTTGGTACACAATGCTGAGCACCATGGGTTTATTATCTTGATTCCAAAGCATTGTTTGGGCCCCAGACCTTTTTGTCAAATAAACCTGTGATCCACATCTCTGTGTAAAATAAAAACTCAAGGAGGGCAGGACATTTTGACAGTTTGGTTTACTGATGTATTATTCCCAGTTCCTAGAATGGTGCCCAGTACTAGTAAATGCTCAAATATTTGTCAAATGACTCCACAAAAACGTATGTTTTTACTTTCCATGTTATTGGGGAGTCACAGATTCCCCTGCAAATCATTAGTAAGCTTAGTAAGCTTAACCTTGTGCGTTTCCCCACTGTGCCACTTCATATTCTAGTAAAGTGTAAGTGTTTGCTAAGAATACCCACAACCAACCTTAAATTAGGAGTCCCCTACCTCTCCACTCAAGGGGAGTCCAAGGGCTGGACAAGACCAGGCGTTTTGTGATTCTTCCCAATGCAACAACATCCCCCTCTTGCCAGGATTCCAGGTGTCCCCACAGCAGCTGAGAAAGGAAATAACTTGGAATTTAGCATACGTCAGGTTTTAGATGTGGAAAAGCCCCAAGAGAAGAAGTAGTACCTGTGGGCACAGAGGGCAATATGGAGAGAATAGATATTATTCTAATCCAGGAAAATGAAAAATAATTTGAACCTTCAAAGTAGCCAAGGTTGCCAGTTTCCAGGATGCTCCCTCTGCATCTTCCTGGCTGCTGTTTCA